AAAAAAAAAAAAAACCATCCCTCAGCAGCCCATAACCGCGCAATTATACACAAAACTTCCCGATCTCCTTCTCCCGAGCACTTCCCATTGCGCGGGACCCTCACCAGGAACCCACGCATTCACCTCGATAAACCCATCTCCCGACCCATTCCTCGGCCCACCAACCACAATCAACTTCTCCCCACAAGCCCTAAACGCTAATCCCCACCCGAACATCGAGTCCGCTCCCCTAGGCAATCCCCCAACCGTCCCCCAAACCCCCCTCCGTTTATCATACCTCCTCACCTCCATCGCCGCGTAATCCGCCGCGTAAAGCTCGTCACCGACCACCGCCACGAGCGGCGGCGCCTCCGACGTGACGGGCACCGGAAGCATCTCGTCGTGGGCCCGCACCGGCGACATCTCCGGCAACTCCCTCCAAACCCCAGTCACCAGATCGAACTCCTCCGCGCACGTCAAAATCTCCGAGCCCATCCCAACACCTCCCACGACGTAGAACTTCCCGTCCATGAACACGCCCGAGCACATCTTCCGGGCCCGGTTCATGTCAGGTAGCCTCCGCCAAAAGCCCGTCTCCGAGTCGTAAATCTCGGCCGACCGGAGAACGTTCCCCAAAGAGTCGCAACCTCCGGCGACGATGGCCGACGAGCCCAAGCTAGCGGAACCGAACAAGCAACGAGGTTGGAGCATCGACGTGCCGGGGGACCACTCGTTCGTCAAGAGGCTATAACGATAGACCGCGTGGGAAGTTAAGTCCCGACCAAAAACAAGCAAGTTGGTCCCGACGGCTAGGGATTCTTTATCGGCGTACGGGAAGCAGTCGTTCGGGTCCATTCGAGGGAGCCGGAGCCATCGCCGGCGGGTTGGGTCGAAGGCTTCCCACTCGAGGAGCTGGCATGAAAAGTAGATCCAATGCTCGATTACGCCGTGGAGGCGGCGGAGACGGTAGAGCTCGCCCGAGCGGATTAGATTGCGGAAGGATGTGTTGAGGCTCGATAGGGAGCAATAATCGGCACGGGAGCAACGGAGGAGGCAGTTGATTGAGTTGTCTCGACCGATGGCCGGGATTAGGGAAGACGAGTCGAGTCGATCGGGTTTGGGGGACTTACGGGCTGGGGCATCTTCTTGGTTGGGTTCGTCGTCCGGGGGGCGTTTGTTCGGGTAGGTGATGTGGGCCCAGTCAGGTTCCCGGGTCGTGGAGTAGTCACGGGAGACTAAACAAGGACGGTCCTCGAGCATTGTCTTGATCTTTGGAGAATAGGATTCGACTTTCGAGTCCCGGAGCAAAATACAGTTAGGCTGCGAGAAATCGAAAAGGATAATAAAGAAAGAGCAGATTATAATCCATTGCTAATCAGTAATCTTTTCATCTGGAATTCTGGAAAGTGTGGTTTTTTTGACCTGTTAACATTATTATATGTTACTAAAGAAAAACATGGTGACAGAGGAAAAACAGATAAACCATTGAGGGAAAGGAAAAACATTTAAACAGGCAAAGAGAAGGAGATTATATATTTACAAGGATTTCTGTGCCCATTCATCACTTTTGGATTATCAGAAATTCAGATTTTCATTTATAAAGCAGAAAAATGAAAAAAAAAAAAAAGATTGGTCATTTGCAAAGAACCTTAGAACAGATTATCAAAAGGGGTGATGAAACAGATAAATCCATCGAAAATGACCAAAACCCAGATTCAAAAACACTTCAAATCTCCATAAAAATCCAAACTTTAATCCATTACAGATCACCAGAAATCAGATCGACCAATACCCAGATTTTCAAATCTTCTTACAACATAAACAAATCAAAGAGAAAAAAATGGAAAACTGAAAAAAAGCTTCAATCTTGCATTGACAGCACCAATAAGATTCACACAGATTAGATCTATCACAGAACCCCAAGCAGCAAACCAAGAAAACAATTGATCTTTCACAAGTAGAAACTGAAGACAAGGCAGCCATAACCGTAGCAAATATGGAAAAGCACAAAACAGAACAGCCGTAGCCCAGAAAGACTCCATTTTTTATTACATTAATTTTTGAGTACAATAAGAATAAAATGTCAGGGGGGGACTTACAAATGGGATTGGATAAGAAGCTACAGTTCTTGATTGAAGCTACACTCAATTCAAGAATATTTTCTCTCTCCCCCCTTTTGCAGGTATCTATGCATGTATGTGTGTGTACCTTTGTGTGTGTGTGTGTGTGTGTGTGTGTGTGTGCGTGTTTGTTCTATTTTTCATTAATCCTTGTATCTGTATTTCTATGGGAGAAAGAAAGGAGCTGAATTTTTTTTTTTCTTTTTTTTTTCTTCTTCTTGTAAGAGAAATCCTTCGGATTCTCTCTGCAAATCAAAGCAAAGGCTTTGGGCTTTGGCTTCGGCTTTGGGGCATAATCTCTGAGGTCCCCTTTATCTCTCTCTCTCTCTCTCTCTCTCTCTCTCTCTCTCTCTCAACCTATTTCACTATTTATAATTCTTGTTTTTATAATGGTTATGTGTGGCAAATTTTATCTAGTTTGGGTATCTTGTTCTTGGTGAACAAATTTATCTTTGGTTCTTTTATGTACCAAAATAATGAGTAATGCTAATGAGCCAACAGTTGGCTCCGTTATGGAGCCAACAACTAATTGGACAACTTCATGTGGGGTTGTCCCACATTAAAGTATTGTGGGACAGCCCTACATGGAGTTGTCTCATTGGTTGTTGGCTCTTTAGCATTATTGCCAAAATAATTCTCTCTCTCTCTTTTTTTTTATTTGCATATGACCTACCTAACTATTAGATTATTAAATTTTTTAAATATTTATATATAATATTTTAATTAGAAAATGTCATACTATGTGAAAAAAAATATGACATTGGATACTATAATAAAATATACATTTTAGTGAAATAGTATGATGGGTCGATCCAAAATGACATACTTTACAAAACAATGTAAATAAAAATTATGAGACAATTTGTTCAAATAATTTGATGGTTCTATCCATCTATAGATATGATTGGATATAAGTTATTTTTAATTTAATTGAATTTATTGGATGAATGAGTTGAATTTGATAATTATTGATTAAGTTTTGGTCGCGTATGATTTTGAGTTTTTTCTTAAAGTAATATTTAAAATATAATAATTAAAGTTGAAATTATGTAAAACTAGAAAAAATGTTATTGAAAATAATAAATAGTTAGAATTATGTGATTGCATGAAAGTGAATTAAAATTGTTAAGGAATTTATTTATATTAATAATATTAAGAAGAGTTAAAAATTAAAAAAAAAATATTGTATTTTTTTTTAAATCATAGTATAATACTTAATATTTATGGGACAGATGAATCTCTCGTGACTCTCTCGTGGCAGCCAACAAAAAGTGGAGAAGATTACAAAGAATTTATCAATGCGTTACATAAACATTTATTAGTTTTAATTGTTGGATTTAATGAAAATTGCACTTTCTCTTCTTTAATTGCTACAGAATTAGAAAACCACCATGATAAATTATAGAAAATTACATATTTTTAAATTAAAGAAAAATATTGTTATGGCTAAACAAGGAAAGTATAATATTTTACTTTAAGCAACATTTTTTTTTTGCTCCAAATTGCAATACATGGCATTTTTTTTTTTAACTATAAGAGGAATAATAAGCCATGTAGATTTATTATTTAAATCAAATGTCAAAAATCATTTACAAATAATCACCGTCATTGCTAGATGTGCGACCCTAATCGATCAACGAATTAGTTAGAACAATGCTCGAGATATCGTGGTTGGCTAAAAAAAAGCAACAATATATGAATTTATTATATGAAGAGTTGGCAGATGCATATTATTGACATTTTCTTATAGATGATTTTTATTTAGAATGTATTATTTTATTTAGTCTTATTTTTTAAATTAAATTAGAACCCGTGTCAATAAATAGCTGTAACGACAGCCATGTATTAAAATTGGTGTTCCTTTTCCTTCACTGGAAACAACACATGTAAATTCCTGCTCGAATTTGATTTTTTAGTTTTCAAAAATATGATTTAAAAAATTATTTTTTTTTTCTAAATTTACAATAAATTAAAAATCCCGAATTAAAATGATTAAAGTTGATAATAAAATATAACAAAATATTAATTAATAAGTTTGATTGCTAAAAATATGCAAAAACATTTTTCTTTTGGAAACTAAATAATAGTAGTAATGTTCTTTCTTATTTATTGTAATTAAAAAATAATTACATTTTCAATTTGAATGAGATAAAAAAAAACACACACACAATTTATTCAATTATATATTCCATTATCCAAATTTTCAATAAACAACCAATAATCTCTTTTTTCGAAAATGAAAAAAAACGGCACTTTTTAGCTTTTTAGTTGAGAAAATAGAAGAGGCGTGGTGTGGGACCCACTTTACAGCTCATGGGTGGAGGAGGACCACCGGCAACAGGCGGTAGCCGGTGCCGACACGTGTGTCAACGTCGTCGGGTACATATTCGGTTCGGACTTTAGTTTCGGGTTTCGGCGGATACCCGCACTTGTTCTACAAAAGTCCATCTTAAAAATGGACTTTTCATTAAGTGCATTTACAAAAGTTCTTACACAATTTTCACATATGTTTGGTGAATCTCATTTTAAATAAGTGCTTTAGTTACTTATTGGGAATAATTGTGAAATAGATTTTAGAAGTAGCTAATTCTCACTTCTACAAAATGGACTTATTGAGAAGTGACTTTTCTCAAAAGTGCATTCAATATAAATCACCAAACACCCTAAAATTATTCAGATGGACTTTTAAGTCTAGAAGCCCATTTCAAAAGTGTTTCCAAACACACACTTAACCTTTTTGTCACATCTATCTAAATTTTCAAAAAAAGTTGAGATCCAAATTATTGACTTTTTTAATCTCTTTCATTATTAAAATATATGCTTCAAAATCATTATTTTCGGATTTGACAAGGTGAATACAATAAGAATATAAGATAAATACGTAATTATTAAAATTATTTTGGTGGTGATGCAATGTTATGTCTCAATAGTTAAAAAAAAAAATATGTGAATATATGAATAATTTTTTTGTTGAAAAATATATAATAATAATTTTTATTATTTTTAATTATATTAGTGAAATTTATATAGAAAAAAACGAGATAAAATAAATATTTTTTTTAAAAAAAAAAAAATTATTATGAAAAAATTTTTGTGAAAAAATAAATGAATCCAATCGGTTAGAATTGAAAAAAAAAATGCAATATCCTATTTCATTGCCTACTAATTCATAATTTGTTAATAAATTTTAGTTCACAAAATTCTGTGCGAGACGACTTAACCATTACGCTGATCGTCAAACTTGAGTGAATCAAAATATATGTATACTTATACTATTAAATGTTATGGTTTTATTTATTTTGTTTCTCAAAGTATATCATTTCTTAGGGTATGTTTGGTAGCCAAATAAGCTAGCTTATAGTTTATTTGGTTAGCTTATAAACTTCTTGTTTAAAATAAGTCTCGTTTGGTAGGACGAGCTTTTTTAAAAAGTTCGAGCTTATTTCATAAGCTACTTTAGGTAACATTTCAAATAAGCTAGTTGAATTTTTTATTTCAGCTAGCTTATCAACTAATTTACCAAACATCTTTTATCATATAATTTAGCTTTTCAGCTATAAGTCATAAGCTATAAGCTATACAAAAATTACATATAAGCTATAAGCTAGCTTATCAGCTATCAGCTAGTTTTACCAAACATAGTCTTAATGAAAATGTGTTTATTTGTGAAAAAAATATGTCAATCTAGCATAAGACATTATCAATTTTAAGTTGTTAAAAAAAAAAAAAAGGATGGACAATAAATATCCTCAATAAATTGAAATAAAAGTTTCCACCACAAATTTTCGCTTTGACCACCTTTAATACAATTCATTAGAACAGTAGGTTTCAACTTTCAACACCAAAATAGGGGCCAATGCTATTAATTGTTGACATAAATTATTTTATCTACATAAATATATTAATTTGACTCACTATGGTTATCATTTGAGCGTGACTATATGACGGAGTATAATTTCAGGTGATAAATTTCAAATCAGAAACTTTATTGAAATAAATTTGTGTAATTATGTAAAACTGATAAACACTACAAAAGTTAAATTTATAAAATACATTTATAATTCAATGCATATAATAAAAAATGATATTAAAATACAATTAAAACATATAACATGAACATGAATAATCAACATATTTATGGATAATTCGAACTTAATTAATTTTTGGATTGGAAGTAATTAAAATCTATCCAAGCCTAATAACGAATAATGTAATTCTGTCACATAGGATCTCGAATCATGCGAACCAGCCAGTTAAGTTCAGCACATTCTGAATTAATGTAAAAAGTGGCTTAGCTTAAATGATGAAAAATGTGAATTCAAATTGTATAGGGAAAGGAAGAAGTTGAGCAAATTGAATAAATGTTTTGTATTTTTGCAATAATTATTGATTAAAAAATTATGTTATTTGGTACTATAATATAAAGAAAATGATATAATGACAACGAGACATTTATAAAGTTTATGAAGGTGAAATTATATATTGAAGATGTAACAGTTAAAAGATATAATTAAAATTCTTGTTGAAGATTTTGATGGTTTGGTAAAACAGTGTGCTGATATAAATGAAATTAATACGTGGATTTCTATATATTTAATGTTTTTTCACTATTCAAACAAACAAACATCACATCAGCCTAACTCTGATGGATATATTTTACCATTTTTCTTTTTTTTTTTGTAATTTTTTTATTGGGTAACAATTTGCACTTTTTTTTTTCAATTATTTGTCGTTTGAGATAAAAAAAAAATTCAATTATATGATATACACAAAACTTTATAATGTCGAAATAAATCAAATTAATTGTGAATAAAGAAAAAAATTAATGAAGGGTCGTAAGAAAAAAGTGGTTATGAAGAAACTACTATCTAACTAATTAAAAATTTGGAATAATTGACAATAGAAAATACATAAATGGTTAAATTTTCTTATTTTTAATCTGAGCCACGTTTTTTTGCCATAATATATTAGAATTGAACAGTACAGGGGAGATGCTACTGTCTCGTTACGAAACCGTTATGTCGGATACGTGATGATGTAATGGCTACAAACTCTGACGTTTCTCACATTACATACTCCACAAGGAATGTTCTCTTGTGTGTGAAAATCTAATAGACGTGTGGAAAAGAAATTATATTGCATTCTCATCTTTTTGTGATATATCTAATATTTGGCATCCAGCTTGTATTTTATTATAAACTTATATATTACTATACCATTATTGTCATTTGCTATTGTTGTTAAACTCATTCATTGATGTGATATTTTTTGCCCTTTTGATGGTATTAATTAATTGCCCCTTTATTTTTTTTTTTCTCCATTATATAATTTACTTAACAAAATTTAAAAGTCCAACTTATTATGCCTAAATTCATCTTTTCCACAAGCTGCACAATATTGTTGAATATAATGCTTGTACGGACGCTTACAGTTGGGTCAATTTTCAAGATTTTGTATATATTTGGCTGTTTTATTTTATTGTAAAATAAATTAAATGGGTGCCCATATTTTGTATAAATGCGTATGTGATTACGAATGCATGACAAAAAATTAAAAAAAAAATGTCGATTGCATGTTAAAGAAACATTCTATTCAAACTTTTCAATTCAATATCTAAACATATGTAAACAATAAGATATTAACTATCTTTGTCAATGTGACTCAACTCGATATGTAATTTCCTTATACGTACATAGATCTTTGTTATAATATATTTTTGTCCTTATATTGTTTTCTTTTTTGTTAGAATATTACTTGGGCTGGAAAACGAGTACGTCATCGCACGTTCCTACATAGAACCGGTTCTGATACCATGTAAGAATCCATGCAGATAATAACAGAAAAGCTTAAATGAAGCCCAAGTGAAATTTCATCACAAAACCAATTGGTGACAAGAGGAGTAGCTCAATAGTCTTATAAACTTGGTCTATTTTCATATATAAACGATCTTGTGATATTATATTTTAATTTTATTATATATACGTAAAATCTTAATAGTTTTTTTTAATCAAATTGAAGAAAAAAATAAACTAAATTAAAAAATATATTTAACAAAAATAATTTGTATCCAATCATAATTTATATTTGTAAAAAGAAAATTGACATATATCTATAGACCAACACGCCGAAGCTAAATTATAAGTGTAACTTTTTGAGAAAAATTATTTAATTGCGTGCACGACTTAAACGGCGTCGTGTAGCGACCAAAATGCTTTTCCGTCCCGCGCACGTCATTGGCGGACCCTTACCTTTTACAAATTCGACCCAATCTTATTTTTTTTCTTTTTACCAGTCACGGTATTCGGAGCTATGCGCTGACTAATCTGTTGGTCGACCCAGAACGCACATCTAGCAGTGGTGGGTGAGTCTCCCAACAAGGATTTTCTACATCCACAAGGACTCGAACTCGAGACCTTACTTAAGCGACATCAAGCTGCTTACCACTTGAACCAACCCATGTTGGTAATTCGATCCAATCTTCAACCTTTAATAAAATCAATTGTTAAAATCATTTAATAAAATCAATTATTATTATTAAAATCAATTATTAAAATTTTGCTAAAAGCAATATTTTGAAAAGTATTTGTTCAAAATAAAATCATTTTTTTTTAAAAAAAATAAAAATCATTTTATTTATTTAAATGGCAAGAACTTTCTAAGAAACTCAATGCGTATCTATATAGAGATACTATATATAATAACTTAATATAACCCTAAATTCACGTTCTCGTGTTCACCCAATAGTCATGCGACACGTGTCTATCTCGCTCCTCGAGTCACGTGCCCCGCACGTGCCCGCCTCTAATCGCGAGCCGGTGATGCTTAAAGCACATAAATAAAATATATATATATTTTTTTTTTATTATGATCATCTTCTCACGAGTTTCTCTTTCGGGAAAGAAAAGCTTTAGTACTTTAATTAACCTTTTAATATACTACTAAACATATAGGTTAAAGAGAGATTAATTATTAACGAGGTTGGCTCAAGTGGTAAGCAGTTTGATGTCGCTTAAGCAAGTTCTCGGGTTCGAGTCCTTGTGAATGTAGAAAACCCTTGCTGGAAGACTCATCCACCATTGCCAGGTGTGCGGCCCGGGTCGAACAACGGATTAATCGGGACATAGCTCCAAATACCGTGACTGGCTAAAAAAAAAATAAAAATAAAAATAAAGAGAGATTAATTATATAGGTGTGTGTGTGTGGAGAATGTCCGCATGAGTTAGCTTTTAGTTAATCCCCCACTTAATTTGTACTAGTATTTAATTAGCAAATATTGTGAATTAACTTTTATAATTAACTTTTGACTAATGTTAATGTCATGTGATTTTATCACTAATGTGACATTTTCGGCGCACTTCCCAATTTGATGATCTTCATTAATGACTTAGATGGGGATTTCATTGACCTCGTAAGTCGTAACGTTTTCATATTTTCCTAATAATAATAAT